CCGAGGGAGCCCGCGGGGCGCCGCGCGGACGCTGAGACCTGTCGTCGCCCACGTCCAGGCGGATTCGAAAGCTTCGGCGGCTCCAGCTACGGCGGAGCGGGCGGCTACACGCAGTCCCCCGGCGGCTTCGGCTCGCCCACCCCGTCGCAGGCCGAGAAGAAGTCGGTACGTAGCGGGACGGCTCCGTGTCCATCTGTTTCCTCCCGAAGTTCCTGACTCGTCCGAGAGAGGACGTGCGGGAGGGAGGGTGGCGCACTCGAACTTGCACACAAGCTGTCCGTTATCTGCCCCGTAGATAGACGGTGTAAAGAGAGAAGTCCTTTTTTTTTTGCTAAAGCGTCGCGTGGCGGGTGTACCGGGGTCGGCCGGGCCTCCTCTCCTGGTCCTAGTGCTTTCACAGAGTTAACATGGCTCTGTCGTCAGCCCTCAGGCCACAGTTGGGACGGCTACATCCTTGGACGGCAAGAGTCCACTGTGCCCCGGACAGACTTTCAGTTATTTCCTGTTGATGTCTAACAGGAAGAACACTGTCACCTTTAATCTGCTCTGCTTTCCCTGCCCTGTACATATCCCTTGTATGAGACTGAGAGTTTGGGGTATTGGTTTTGGAGACAGGCTCACAATATATCCCTGGATGACCTGGAACTCAGAGATCCACCTGCCTCTGACTCTGGTGCTGGAGCAAAGGTGTGCACCACCAGGCTCCATCCCTAACTGGGACTGGAGCGGCAGGTAGTCCCTTGGAGGAGGCTGACTGAATGTTTGCCCTTCACCTGTTCTTTATCCTTTTTTAATTTTTTTGAGGTGCGATCTACCTCTGTTACCCAGGCTGGCTTTGAACCTATAGGGCTAGAGTGATTTTCCTGCCTTTCTGCCTCAGCTTCCCAGATAGCTGGGAACCATCCTGTCTGTATGTTTCTGAAGGTTGAAATTAACGGTAAATGTTTTTCTTTTAGATTCTCACATAGGGCATTTCATTCTGTAATGTAGCAACATGAGGTTTTGTTATTTACATTAGTGCTTCTGCAAAGGCAGAAATAGTGTTGAGTTGAAAGCTTGTCTTGTGTGATGTTTTGTTTGTTTTGATTTTGAGACAAGCTTTCACTAGCTGTGGGTAGCCTGGCACTTAACTCTGTGGAGACCATGAATTTGTGGCGATCGGTCCTATTTACCTGTCTCCTGAGTGCTGGATTTCAGGTGTCTGCCACTTGGCTCAGCAACTTGTTATTATTTTTTAAATTTGCTTGTATATTTATTTCTGTGTTCTGCAGTTCAAGCTGGCATTGAACTCACTAGGTAGCTGCCTCCTCTTCCCAAGTGCTGAGATTGTAGACATACACCATTGTAGTTCTGTGGACTCTCAGGGCTTCTGCATGCCGAGGCACTCGACTGCCTCAGCCGCATCTCAAGTACCGACCCTCCTCCCGCATGCCTGTCCTCCTTCTGTTTTTCTCCTGGCGGTCCTAGACAAGCATTGAAGGCCTGGACTCATTAAGCCAGTGCTACACCACTGGGCTGCATCTTTCCTCCATCCCCCTTTTACTTACTTGCTTGCTTACTTGTTTAGTATTTTGGAGGGCTGCTCTTCCAGGGGATCTGGGCTTGATTCTGGCATCCAACCATCTGTAACGACAATCCCAGGGAATGTGACATTCTTTTAGCTTCCTCAGATACCAGACATGTACGTGGTGTACGGACCCATACATTGTATTAGCCTTCTAAGTAATTGCACCTGTAGCCATGATACCATTCCTGGCTCCTTTACTCATCTGTGTGTCACTCAGACTGCTTCACACCAGTGACAGGCAAAATAAAAGTTACATTGCTGTGTGGAAGGGATGGTGCACACCTTTCTTTAATCCCAGAACTTGGGAGACAGAGGCAGGTAGATCTCTGAGTTTGAGGCCAGCCAGGTCTACACAGGAACCCTGTTTCAATAAACCAAAAAACAGAGTCCAGCTCTGAGAGGTGATTTGTGTGTCTTCATTAAATGCTCTTTTGCTCACTCTGTCTTACTCTGCTCTTTTAAGATGGCCTGTGAGGCTAAACTCACCCCATTTTTCTACAGAGACGGCCATCTGTTTTATCAGGAAACCTGAACATCTCCTAAGTTCTTCTTTTGCTTGTCCTTTCTCAGGCCTTTACACAAAACTCTTGTCACCTCAGTGGTGTCTTGAACAGCTTGCTCTTGCTATATCTGATATGTGTTCTTTCTGCCCCCAACCCCAAGACAGGGTTGTAGAGCAGGCTGACCTTGAACACTGGAAGGTTTGTTCTGAAGGCGGGCATCCTGTGTTGTCCTGCTCTACTTTGGCCTTTTCTTTGTGAACCCACAGTATAATGCAGACATCACCTGGAGTTCTAGCATCAGATCAGTATGGATTTGAATTTAAAAGTGTGGCATTTGCCATGTGTGGTGGCACACAATTTGAATCTTAGCACTTTGCATGGCAGAGGCAGAGCAATCAAATGCAGTATGTGTTAATTTTCTGACCTTGTTTTCTATCTCTGAAGTAAGGAGAATTTGGTTTTGAACATTCAAAGTGCTTGGCACATAGCAAATATTAAGTGAACAGTGTTATCTCTAGGGTTGACTTTATGCATACTTTTCCTTTTCAGAGAGTCCGAGCCCAGCACATTGTGCCCTGTACCATATCTCAGCTGCTTTCTGCTACTCTGACTGATGAAGTGTTCAAAATTGGGAATGTTGAGATTTCACAGGTATTTAAAATTGTGTGGAAGAAACACTTAGTGATAAGAAATCAGGGGTTGGAAAGATGGCAGTCCAAGCATGAGGACCAGAGATAAGATCCCAGTATCCTTCCAGGCCAGCCTCGTCTACAGAGTGCGTTCCAGGACAGCCAGAGCTGTTACAGAGAAGTCCTGTCTTGAACCTCCCCCCTCCCCCCCCAAAAAAAATAAACACACACACAAAAAGGCGGGGGGGGGAGGGGGGGGGTGACAAAAGACTTGCTAAGTTTAAAAGTATATAGCCAGTAACATGCTCTGGATAAAAGTTCTTGGGCTTTTTGCACAGTCTGATGCTCTCAGTTCAGTCTCCAGGTCCTACATTGGAAAAAGGACTAGTGTCCTAATATATCCTCTAACATCTGCATCATGACACATGTAACCCAACAGTAATCACTATATTTTTCTAAAAAGTATTTTTTATTTTTTGTTTTTTTGAGATAGGGTTTCATCTGTGTAACAGCCCTGGCTATCCTGGAGCTCACTTTGTAGACCAGGCTGGCTTCCAACTCTATCTCCCCAGTGCTGGAATTAAAGGTGTGAACTACCATGCTTGGCTTTTTTGTTTGCTTTTTGGTTTGGTTTGGTTTTTGGTTTTTGGTTTTTCGAGACAGGGTTTCTCTGTGTAGCTTTGGTGCCTGTCCTGGAACTCACTCTGTGCCCCAGGCTGGCCTCGAACTCACAAAGATCCGCCTGGCTCTGCCTCCTGAGTGCTGGGATTAAGGGCATGCGCCACCACCGCCCAGCTGTTGTTGGTTATTTTTTACTCTGTTGACTCTCTACTCTTTATGGGGCCCTCCACCCAGCTCCCAAAATAACTACACACAGAAACTTGTTCCTGGCTTTAGCTTGGCTTGTTTCTAGCCAGCTTTTCTTTTTTAAGGTTTATTTATTTATTATGTATGCCAGAAGAGGGCACCAGATCTTATTACAGATGATTGTGAGCCACCATGTGGTTGCTGAGAATTGAACTCAGGACCTCTGGAAGGGCAGCCAGTGAGCCATCTCTTCAGGCACCTAGCCAGCTTTTCTTTTCTTTCTTTTTTTTTTTTTTTATTAAATTTTTTTTATATATTTTACATACCAACCACAGTTTCCCTTCCCTCATCTCATCCTGTTCCCTCCCCTCCACCTCCTTTCTACACCACGTGCATGCGCACACCCCGTTCACTCCTCAGAAAGGGTAAGGCCTCCCATGAGAGTCAACAAAGTGTTGCATACCAAGTTGAGCAGCAGGACCAAGCTTCCCCCTGCATCAAGGCTGAGCAAGGCATCCCACTGTAGGGAATAGGTTCCAAAAAGCCAGCTCATGTGTCAGAGACAGATCTTGGTCCCACTGCTAGGGGCCCCACAAACAGACCAAGCTACACAACTATCACATGCAGAGGGCTTAGGTCGGTCCCATGCAGGCTCCCTAGCCGTCGGTCTGGAGTCTGTGAGCTTGGGTCAGCTGGCTCTGTGAGTTTCCCCGTTGTGATCTTGACCCTCCCTTGCTCGTATAATCCCTCCTTCCTTTCTTCAACTTGATTCCTGGAGCTCAGCCCAGTGCTTGGCTGTGGATCTCTGCATCTGCTTCCATCAGTTACTGGATGAAGGTTCTGTGATGACAATTAGGGTAATCTTACCTTTGTAGTGGTAAGAACTAGTGGTTGGCTGCTCTGCTTCTCTGATCTTTCAACTTTTACCCTGATATTTGTGTGGTTTTTGTTTATTTGTTTGTTTGGTTTTGGTTTTTCAAGACATAGTTTCTCTGTGTATCCCTGGATGTCCTGGAACTCACTCTGCAGACCAGGCTGGCCTGGAACTCACAGAGATCTGCCTGACTCTGCACTAAACAAATGCAAGCCGGGCAGTGGTGGCGCACGCCTTTAATCCCAGCACTCGGGAGGCAGAGCCAGGCGGATCTCTGTGAGTTCGAGGCCAGCCTGGACTACCAAGTGAGTTCCAGGAAAGGTGCAAAGCTACACAGAGAAACCCTGTCTTGAAAAACAACAACAACAACAAAAAAACCCAAAAAAAACAAACAAACAAATGCAATATAAAAGAATGTAACACATCTTTGCATCATTAAATAAATGTTCCACAGCATAAACAAATGTAATATATCTTTTTTTTTTTTTTTTTTGGTTTTTCGAGCCAGGGTTTCTCTGTGTAGCTTTGCGCCTTTCCTGGAACTCACTTGGTAG